ATATATATATATAATCATCCCAAACCCAAAGGAAGTACTTTTCAGTATATATGTATATGTGTGGTTTGGTTGTTGCATATATAGAATATAAAAATAACGAACGGCTTAACTCTTGAGTCGGGGGAACATTTAAAAATTGTGTCTTTATTATTTAACGGGCAAGTTCTATTTTACAAAACCAAAAGACAGATTGGTACTTGATACGTGATAGGGATAGCACAGGATGAAGAAAATATGGCATGTTTTTTTTGTCTAAAAAACTCAAAAAAAAAAAAAAACTCGAGTTCTAACTTTATTTAAGTTCACGTTCTTTTAAGTTTCAATTTTATTAAATTTTACTTAATTTTATTCAAATTACAATTTCAACTCAAGTTATAATTCAAATTTAACTCAAAAATTACACTCAAATTACACTTTAAAAGAACAACTCCTATATAACTTGGCACTTGACTGTGATTGTAATGTATAAATCAAAAGAGAAAAAATAATGAATATGAATATCAATGTACAAGGAACTGATGAACCGAAGCGGAACATGGGAAATGAAAAAGCTAAGTAAGCCTAGCGCATCATAAGGGCGAACTCGTCAAAGGTGAGAACCCCATCTCCATTGAGGTCGAATACTCTAACGATGGCCTTGCAATCCTCAAGAGACCGTGACTCCCCCAGTCGCCCCAGCATCCTCCTCAAGCTCCCTGGAGTTATGCACTCTTCCATGGCAGCCGCGTACATCCCAAACGCCTCTCTCAGCTCCTTCACCTTCTCCTCTTCCGTCTCATGACTCGTCTCCATCAGACTACAAAACTCCTCGAACCCCAAATGCCCGTCCCCGTCTTTGTCGGAACATGCCACGGCGGCTTCTGCCTCCTCCCTAGACAGCTGCCCTCCAGCCGCCCCCACGCAGCTACGCAACTCAACCGGGGATATCTTGCCGTCACCGTCCTCGTCCATGTAATTGAACACCATTCGGAGCTGCTGCTGCTGCTGCGATTCCACTACTTGATCAACTTCCACTTGATCTAGTGACGGCGTCCTCCCGCTCTTGGGGGACAACTTGCGGCATAATCTCGCAAAAGATGATTTTTTTGGAGAAGACGGAGAAGGAGAAGAAGAAGAAGAGGAAGGAGATTTTGCGTAGGTTGTCATGTAAGCTTAATTATAACCTTAAAATGTTGAGAAAATGTTGAGATGAGTTTGGTTGATGATGAAACTGAATTTGGTTTGAGATGAGTTGCTGTTGTATATGTTGTGCGAGTATTTATAGAGAGTAGAAGACGCCGCCAAAAGACGCGTGTTTGTAGATATTTTTTTATATATAATTTGGGAAAAGTCAAACTTAAATAGGGGCTAGGGGGAAAGGAAGGAAATAATGATATTTAGTTTATAATTATAATTGGATAATGATAGCCAATCCATCGGTGAGTGTTAGAAACGTGGATCTTCGTATTCAATTCACACGTAAAGATAAATGTCTAGTTGATTTTGTGAATTTAAGTTTTTAATTTAAATTTAAATGTGATATTTTTTAAAAAAATTTTACTGTAATAAAAAAAATTAGATGTGATATTTTTAAAAAATTTTTTATTATAAAAATTTAAAATTAAAAACTCAAATCGGTGAAATGAATAAGACAAAAACATAAATGATTGAACGTTCCATTTTTTTCCACCGGCCATGAGCCAGTTGTTTTTGCGAGGGAGGGATTCCGTGTGCGCAGCGCGTCAACGAAACTTCCTGCCTCCGTACTGTGCACTCATTGCTTCGCTAGTGGATAACATTTTTCTTTCTTTCTTCTTTCCTTCTCTGCCCTGAATTAGAAAAACGTTAATATATATATATATATATATTATATATTCCCTTTTTTCTCCATCTTTTTTTCACTAAAAGTTATTTACTCATTTTTAATTGTGAAGACCATTTACTTGATCAGAATTTAGAAATGAGTAATCTTTTTTGTTCGTATAGAGTTAAATAATCGCTCCCTTATAAAAAATAAGTTCTAAAAATAGATCTGGGCCGACTCTATAACAGAGACGATATATTTTTATCGAATTATATAAAATTTTTTAAAATAAAAAAAAGATAAATATTTTTTAAAATGTATGTCTCTGAATTTTTATTTTTTATTCTTAATTAATAAATTTTTTAATCAAATAATTATATTAGTCAAAAAGATATTAATTAAGAGTAAATGATAAAAAAAATTAAATTTATACACTCTAAAATTAAGTTGAACAATTTTCTTTTCTTGAAAAATACTATAAAATAAGAGCTTTTGAGCCACGGCCTTCTAGTTGTACCCTCTTTTTTCTAAGGGGACCCTTAAGTTATATACTATAGTTTAATATATATTTTCTATTAGCAAATGACTATGATAAGACCAGACTCTTAAGAGGTTTCACTCTTTTTAGGTGATGTTTTGAACGCTAAATTGGATAGAATTATGAGATTAGGATTGTGTTAAATCCTGTTTTATGTTTGGTAAATTGTTGGTTTAGATATCTGGAAAAGTAATATAATGTTTAGTACATCATCTGGACTAAATTAAAGATGAAGTTTAAACTAAATTTAATAGAATAATAAAATAAAATGAAGAAATTATTCCAACAACAACAACAGTTAGCAACGTAATTAAAAGACTAGAACTAAATTAAATTTAAGGAACATCCATTATTAAGAAAATTATGATATACTTAAAAATAAAAATATTAACATTTATTTTTAGATTTTATTATCCTCTTTTAAAAATGTCTCATTCTCTGCGTATTGTTGCGGTGGCAGAGCATAAGGGGACGGATTGCGGCGATGAAGAATCTTGGTGGAGTGGAGTAGTGACGACCGGGTGGGGTAGTGTGACGCTCAGCTTGTCAAGTTAGGAGTCACGCCCCAAAATAGAGATTATTAATGTAGATGCTTGTTTAGAAATTAAACCGGATTAAGAAAAATAATTAATCATTTGATAACACCAAAATTAATTTCAAGGATAAAATATTTAAGAATTTCCAAGCGAACCTCACAATTTGAAAGAAATTAGATTTCAAGAAAAGTGATGGGGATTTCACAAATATTAAAACGAGTTCAAAATTTAGCATCTGACATCATATCATGATTCCTCACAGGAAAATTCATATTGTAGCATACATAAACAAAACGAAGAAAATAAGATATTGACATCAACCACAGTTTAGGAGCAATTAAGGTTACAAACCATAGAATTATACATGCCGTAGAAATATACAGTAAGGATGGAAGTGGCTACAACTTCTTCACTCCTTGAGTTCCAGCTACTATTATCGATAGTCTCTATATACTCGGCACTGCTTCTAGCGTCGCTTGAAAGAGGTTTAAAACATTGAAAATAGTATAAACAATGAGTAAAAGGCCAAGTAGGATATAACTCCATAAAACTTTATCAAGTTTCATATGCTAATAGGCAATTCATAAGAATATGATAGATTACTCACATTATCGCAAAACCTTGGTATCACCACCTACACTATGGAGTGGCCCGTACGGGTTTCAGGAATTGTCTCCAAGAATATGATCTACATATCCCGATCTCTTAGCCATCATGCATTTTATTATTTCTCAAAATATCTTATTTTAAGAAAGTATAACCTTTAAATGTCAATTCAACATAATAGAAGTTCAATAGCATAATTCATGCTATTTCCTCAAAATCACTTTTCTTTATCAAACCTGCTTTGTCTACCGAACATCATTTTAAGCCGAATAACATTTAAAACAGGGCTATCAAGGATATGGTCAAGAATATCCTATCTCCTGTATATTAATTCTACAGCTCGCTTCTCGTTGACCTAGCCTCGACTATCTTCGAAGCTTCAACGTCTGATCTTGCTGCTAGTTCCGCTATCAAAATAATGTTTTAGAATTTAAACCTTACCTCTAAAACAATCAAGCTTAATTATGTATAATTACATCATACTAGTGTGCCTTGAATCAAAATTAAAGTTTATAAACAACTTCACAACTCAAGTTAAGGTTTTATTTATTTATTTATTTTTTTTTGTAGAATTGGGACTCAAATAAGAAAATTAGACTCAATCAAAGATTAATGTGGCTAATCCACTCACTTTGAGTTCCCAAATGAAGTTAACTTGGTTTCCCATTGAAATTTAGATCAAAAGTGAGATTTTAAAGTATTTTTAAGCGAAATCAGTGTGCACCGGTCGCTCGGTGGCAGTAAAGTGTAACACCACTAGTCAACCGATGGTGCTTGGTTCGGTCGTCCAGTGTGGACGACCGTGGGTGTTCTGTAGGCCTGAAAAATTGGCCAAAACAACAAGAAACAATACCAAAACTTGCATTTTCAAGTTTGATTTCAAGATAAATCCATGAAAAATCACTAAAACCAATTTTCAAACACTTAATCAAGTTCAAAGAACCAAAACCCCTCAAATTCCATCATGCATTCAACCAAAACGCATCCAAAACTAAGCTTAAACCAAGAATTCACCAAACCAAACTAAGAACAAGTTTCACCGAAGCAAAATCTGAAAATCAAGAGCTGATTTCTCAAAAAATTTTACCTCAATCTTCCTTTGGTGATGAAAACCCTTGAAAATCCTCTTTAGTTCAAATCTAGGTCCAAACCTCCCTCAGAGAGAGAGAGTGACGAATTTTAACTCAATCTTCCTTTAGTGCAAAATCCGGATTCGATTCGGGCAACCAACAATTGGTATCAGAGCGGTCTATAGACGATATTAATTTATGCTTCGATTATTTGATAATCAAAAATTAATTATGTATGTATGTGATGGGTAGGCACTTGCATTTATGGATGTTTATATTTAATTCATGATGATGAATGTATGGATGATGGATTTGGTCGTTAATTATATGGTTCCAAAGATCGCATTAAATTCGTTCAAATTGAATTATTTGTAATTTAATTCGGGATTAGAATTATTGTAATTCTAGGTTTTGGGTAGAATTAGGGTTTTGATTTTGAATCAAAAGGGGCATGGAAGATCAAGTTTGAAGCTTTGAAGATGCCTAGAAACAACACAAGTCTACCCAGAAATTTTTCCAAAAAAAAAATGGAGCCTAGCGTGCGCACGCCCCGGCGTGCCCTGCATGCGGCCAGGCGTGCCCTGCACGCGGCCAGGTGTGCCCCGCGCGCACAGCGCGCGACCAGAGCGCGCGACCATAGTGCACAGCTGGCAGCCCAGATTCGGCAATTGGACCCCGAATGGACCTGAGGTTTTCTAAAATCCTCGTACTACGTGCTGACAGACCCGGAAGAGTTTCGGACCCCGACGAAGGTGAAATCTGACCCGAAGACAAAGAATGAAGCCAAAGAATGAAGTGTTCAAAAATCGAAGACCCGTTGATGTAACGGAAGAAAATAATTATTGTAATTATTTATTTATTCGATTTGGTTGTTATGTATAATTTCCATGGGACCCGGTCAAATCCATCTCAATAGTCGATTGCATATATTTATATTTTATGTTGATAGTTATATATTATATGTCCATGCATATAACATGCCATATAGATATAATGTGCCTACTCATATGTTTTATAACATGTCATATATACACGCG